ATTATTACAACAAATGTGTGTTTTTAAGATTTTTTAAATTATTTTTTTATATAAATAGAAAATAATTAAGAAATACATGGATTTTGTTGTATTATTATTTAATTTTGTATTGTGCGTTTGAATACTGAGAAAAGCACTATATAATAATAATAATAATAACGTCCTCACCTTGGTGGGGTCGTAGTAGTGGAGGTACGCCGGCTCTGAGCGAAGGACGAACAGACGGACCTTCCAGTTCTTCCTCCTGTGACCCTGAGGGCAGAGGGGGGAGAAGTACTCAGATCTTATACTTCAGTAAAAGTAGAAGTACTCAGAACTTGTACTTGAGCAAAAGTAGAAGTACTCGGATCTTGTACTTGAGTAAAAGTAGAAGTAGTCAGATCTTGTACTTGAGTAAAAGTAGAAGTACTCAGATCTTGTACTTGAGTAAAAGTAGAAGTACTCAGATCTTGTACTTGAGTAAAAGTGGAAGTACCAGATCTTGTACTTGAGTCAAAGTAGAAGTACTCAGATCTTGTTCTTGAGTAAAAGTAGAAGTACTCAGATCTTGTACTTGAGTAAAAGTAGAAGTACTCAGATCTTGTACTTGAGTAAAAGTAGAAGTACTCAGATCTTGTACTTGAGTAAAAGTAGAAGTACTCAGATCTTGTACTTGAGTAAAAGTAGAAGTACCAGAGTGTAGGAATACTCTGTTTCAGTAAAAGTCCTGCATTCCAAATGTTCCTCAAGTAAAAGTAGAAAAGTATTCTCATCAAAATATAGTGAAAGACAGTAAAAGTAGTCATTGTGCAGATTGGTCCATTTCAGAATAATATGTATGATATGTTTTATAATGATTGATCATGAAAGTGTTCTCAAAGCTGGTAAAGGTGCAGCTAGTTTGAATGACTTTGTATACTGCAGGGTAGCTGGTGGATTTACTCCAGGTGGAACTAAAGTCTGATTTAACACTTGATTAGATTTCACATCATTCATCCACATCTGAGAAGTAACTAAAGGTATTAAATACATGTAGTGGAGTAGAAGTACTCCATGTACCTCTGAACTGTAGAGGAGTAGAAGTACACAGTAGCATAATATGGAAATACTCAGGTAAAGTACAAGTACCTCTAAATTGTAGTACAAACGTCCTGAGCGTCACAAACAGGTTTTTCTCGTGGCACAAACACGTCTTTGTTCTCTCAGCGTTGCGGAAACAGAACACGAACACAGCACTCTGTTTGTTTGTATTTATTTAAAAAGAAGAACAACAGATGTAAATAAAAAAATACATGTTTCTGCTCAGCGGTACGAGGATAGAAAACCAGACGCAGCCGACTCTCTGCAAACAGAAACCTGATTTAACAAAATATATATATTTATATTTAATGGAATACATTCTGAAGCTCAGGTAATCTCTGCACGCACACACCTGGTGACCCACAATGCAGCAGGCTTTAAAAAAACTTTATTGTACAAAGGGCCGTCGTGCTGGTGTTGGGTTTTTGGTTTGATCAGAAGGTTTTCAGCGAGCGGCGCGTGGGCATATTGCTGTGCGTTCCTGCATCAGCAGGGCGACTCAGGACTCGTCACTGGCTCTGAACACCACGGGGGACAGTGGGTCCAGAATAAGGCAACATGTAGAATGATTTGAACATATCACCACGATGAAGGAATCTGCTTGGAGCACACTGTCTTATGAAGCATCACCTGTGAGGGTAAAGGCATTTGAACAAAGCCTCAGAGCACCATCAGTGGAATATACTCTCTATTCAAAATGTAGGAAAGGTCCACGTGATGTGTTTGAATGTCCAGATGTCTCAACTTTAATACAAAATAAAGCAGAAAGAAGTGGATCTCCAGGTGAGACGCTGGGAACTGGTTTTGGCAATTTTAGGACACGTCAATGATCAAAGCGCAGCTCCGGCCTTCAGATGCAGAAAAGCAAACGCTATCAACTAAAGATGTCGAGCACGCGAGTCTGAGAAAGTGAGCTCGTCTTGTTTTTAAAAAGTACGGAAGCCCTGAAGGACAAATGAGAGAAACTGAGGTGATCTGTTTTCTGAATCTGATCCGGTTCCTCCCCCTGTGTCTGACTGGAGAGGGGGTTCAACAGCCTTAGAGGACCCCCCTCGGTCGCAGGTGGAAGTATTCCTAAAAAGCACCAGTTTTTGGCTAGAAATGGATTTTAAATTGGGCTAAACCGATGCTTTCAGTTGATGTAGAACATGGGGAGGTTACCACCTGCATCAGGAAGAAGTAAACATAAAAACACGTCGCAAAATGTTTTTAAGAGATTTCTTCGTTAACTAGCAGCCACTGACGTTTCTGTTGTTTACATTATTTGTGCACAATTGGTCACTTTCTCTAATAATCACATGGGAGTGGTTTATTGTGGACCCTGGATATCAACGAAGGACTTCCCCTTCTCTGCCAGCTACACACACACACACACACACACACACACACACACACACACACACACACACACACACACACACACACTTCAGTCGTTGGTGAAAGGAGGAGGAGCTGAATCTGGGCCAACAGTTTTTGATCCCGAGCTTCGAAAAATACAGTAATTCAAAGAAAAAATTATTATTAAAATGTTTTTTTTGGTTGAATATTATTTGGATTTCGTTCGTAGCAATAAAACATTTTTTTATAATTCTCTTTTATCTATATTCTGATATTTGAGTCATGATAGTTTTGTGGTTTATGGTTCCCTGAAGGCAACTAGGTATAAGACCTGTCACTCATGGCGTAAGTCCCGCCCCCAACGCAAGATCAGGGCTAAAATCTGAAAGCGAAAAATACGACGTGAAAGTAAAAAAAAAACGAGAAAAGTTCTGAATCTGGAAAATAAAATAATGACTGAAATATGAAGACATAAATAAACGTGAAAAATATTATTAAAATGCTTGAAAACACTTTTCAAATACTTGTTTTTAGTTTGAAATGTTGTAATTTGATTGTATTTTTAAATCAAAAACGTTGAAATAAATTATATTTTCAACGTTTTTTCCAGATTTCAGGATCAAATAATTTATATTTTCCAGATTTCACGATGAAAAACTTGAAATGAATGGAATTCTTCCCCCAAATGTAGGTTTGAGGTTTGATCTCCTCAGTGGAAGCAGGCTCTGTAGCAGACGTACGCTCCGACTGCCAGAAATGAGACCAGGCACACGTTGGTGAGGAGGGGCCAAGAACCAGGACTTTGGGGGTCTTTAGGGGGGTCTAACGGCCCCTCAAAACTCTCCTGCTTCTTCTCCTCCATCTTCTCCAGTTTCTTCTCCTCCATCTTCTCCTTCTCCAGTTTCTTCTCCTCCATCTTCTCCTTCTCCAGTTTCTCCTCGTCCAGATGCTGTTGCTGTCGAGGGGGTTTTGGAGGAGCAGGAGACGGAGGATCCTCCATCAGGACGTCAGCAGGAGGAGGAGGAGGGAGAGGAGCAGCCAGGTTCCTCCTCTTCAGCTCCGGCTCCTGAGAGGACCTGAGGAAGAGGAGGAGGAGGAAGAGGGGGAGGTCAGGTTTTATTAAACGGACACACGGAGGTATAAAGACACCCCCGTTCATTCCTACGAGAGCCAATCAGAGACACTTGAAGCCAAAGTGACCGTTGGTTCAGAAAGTGTTCCTGAACGTGAGACACACCTGGAGTCACCTTTACACCCTAATGATTTAAATAAAGACAAAGTGTTGGTCCTGGGTGTTTACAGACGTCTCTTTACGGAACAGACTTCCTGTCGTATGTCCTATATTCATGTTGCTCTGATGGAGCCTGGGATCTACACTGTAGCTGCTGAGCTGAGGACGATGGAGAGCCGAAGTCCCTCCCCTTCCCGTGTTCCTCCTTATTCTGGAAAAATGATGTATTGAAGTCAATGAGAAATTATCTTTCGATTGCGTTTGAATTGTGCCACGAATTACACATATGATGTTTGTCAATCTTAAAAAATATTTGTTATGTTTGTTGCACTTATCTGAGTGTGAAACCGCTCCATGAGCCACATCTCTGGTCTGGCACAACACACGTCACCAGGATGAGGCGAAAAGTATTAAAGGAGGTGGAAATCATTACGTCGGCGCGTGTTGAGCTGCTTTTACACACAAGGGGAGATAGTCGGTTCCGTGAAGCCAGCATGCGGGCCCGGCTGCACAAGGGGTCCGAGTGTTGAACGAGTGCAATGCGTAACGTTAATGTCAGCTAGCTAACATTAGCTAAAGGTACACTCCTGTGTTTTGTTCTAGCAACTAGTGTTCTGTGTGCCTTGTCCTTGCCAACACTAATGTTATCCACAGCATGCACAGCGATCACGCTATTCCTAACGAAAAAAACACGGGAGTATACCTTGTTAGCTAATAGCTAACATCAAACATTACACTCGTTTAGCACTCACCTCTTACGCAACCAACTAACTCCCCTTGTGTGTATGTACAGATCTCAACACGCCAAGACTGTAGTGATTTCCACCTCCTTTAACACTTTTCGCCTCATTCTGGTGATGGTGACGTGTTGGTGACGTGATGGTGACGTGTTGGTGACGTGATGGTGACGTGTTGGTGACGTGTTGGTGACGTGTTGGTGACGTGATGGTGACGTGTTGGTGACGTGTTGGTGACGTGTTGGTGACGCAATGGTGACGTGTTGGTGACGTGATGGTGACGTGATGGTGACGTGTTGGTGACGTGTTGGTGACGCGATGGTGACGTGTTGGTGACGCGATGGTGACGGTTGGTGTGGTGACGTGTTGGTGACGTGATGGTGACGTGTTGGTGACGTGATGGTGACGTGTTGGTGACGTGATGGTGACGTGTTGGTGACGTGTTGGTGACGTGTTGGTGACGTGTTGGTGACGTGTTGGTGACGTGTTGGTGACGTGTTGGTGACGTGATGGTGACGTGTTGGTGACGTGTTGGTGACGTGATGGTGACGTGTTGGTGACGTGTTGGTGACGTGTTGGTGACGTGTTGGTGACGTGATGGTGAGGTGTTGGTGACGTGATGGTGACGTGTTGGTGACGTGTTGGTGACGTGTTGGTGACGTGTTGGTGACGTGATGGTGACGTGTTGGTGACGTAATGGTGACGTGTTGGTGACGTGATGGTGACGTGTTGGTGACGTGTTGGTGACGTGTTGGTGACATGTTGGTGACGTGTTGGTGACGTGATGGTGACGTGTTGGTGACGTGATGGTGACGTGTTGGTGACGTGTTGGTGACGTGTTGGTGACGTGTTGGTGACGTGTTGTGCGAGACCAGAGATCGTTCATTGAGCGTGTGAGTGAAACTGTGAGTGTTACTTCACCGTTTTAAGACAACATTTATTTTCTTGATTTGCAAAATGACCTGGTTGAATAAAGGATATATATATGAACGTTTACCCCAGGCGGCGTGTCTGCGCCTGCATGAGGACCTCTTGGTGTTCGGGGAAGAAGCCAAACTCCACCTGGTCGACGGGAGGGTCTCTGGGGGGGGGAGGAGGAGGAGGGGTGAACTCAGGAGGCTCGCCTTCCTCCTTAGAAAGCTCCTTCCACGACTCCTGCAGAAATACACAAATACAATTGGTAATCAAACAACATGTCTTAAACGGGTTAACCTGAATGGAAGAGAGTGAAATGTAACTAAGATGTAACGCACTAAACCACATGGTGACACAAATAACATTTATGTATTACTTCTGTCTCCACTCAACACATGTGCTGCTCAATTTGTTCATTTCATGGGAACATCAGAGACTGTTAGACGTGGACGAAGTCAAATGAGTCGTACTGCATGTTAAACATCAGTTTGAAAACTCTCTGTTAAAGCCAGTTTTTGTTTTGGGAGAAGGTCAATCAATACTGTCAACCTCTGTAGTCCATAGGATATACAAAACTACAACTCCCATCCTCTGTTAAAGCACAAGCCCTGCATTCAAACCGTACTAAAGTTAGAAGCTCAAACGTTTCAGCATCGAATCAAAACAACTCGTTATCCAAACTGAATACTAAAGCTCGGGTAGGTAGTGACTCAATCTGTGACCTATCCTGTAATGGAGGGGGGGGGTGGTTACCTGCAGACTGGTGTCCCCTCCGATGTATTTGGCGCCCTCGATGACGGCGAGGTAGGAGAACCGGAGCTGATCGGCTGTCTGGATCAAACCCATCCGGTACCGCCTCATCTCCAGCAGAACCTCCCGGATCCTCACCGAGGACGGGTCCTTACGGGCCGACATCTGGGGGGAAGACGGGGAGATCACAGCCACGTTTAAACTTTAATATGAAACAAACAGTCGGGGAGATTCCATCACAGCTTTGACTGGGGATGCAACATGGATGAAAGAGAAGGATGAACGGAAAAGTGTCAAAATAACTATATTTTCACAGGAATGAGAGAATCTGGTGAGGGATATTTCCAAATATCTGGAACTCTGACTGCTTTTAAATCCAGGCTGAAGACTTGTGCTTTTAATTGAACTATTCACATCTGCGCTGTAACTTTTATTCATGTTTCATTATCTTTGCTTTTTAATGCTCTCAATGTCTTTCATTTTTGTAAATCACTTTGAGTTGCCTTGTGTTGAAAAGTACTGTATAAATAAACTTGCCTTGCCTTTAAAATATAAAACAAACAATCAGGTAAATTAAATCACATTTAAGCTTTTAAATATAAATGCTCTCAAACTGTTTACACTTAGCTACTTTTAATAATAATCAGGGTTTAAGTGTTATTCTATATTTTGCACTTAACCTGTTTTCCAGGTCTCAGGCTCGAAAATGACATTCCCAGAACAAATGACCATATCTTCTAAAAGGGATAAATTAATCATCTTTTTTCTCAAAGTAATGATAAACCTGTGAGTTGGATGTAGAAGAGTCAGAATCAATATAGATGCTTTTATTTTAAAGTAAATTCAGACTGAACATAGTAAAAAACAATGTGACCAATCAGATGAGGCTCACGTCATGCCCCTGCCAACCTGTGATTGGTCAGGGCCATGGCAAGGGAAGCCGGAGGCGGCTGGCTTCCCTTGCCTCACAATCCAATCAAATCGCATCAACTTCAGTTCGTACTGTAACTGTCATCACCGCCGTTAGAAAGTAGCAAGCAACTGAAGCAAGTGCAATTATGGAGGGTGGAGATTTGGAGTATTTCATCAAAAATAATTTCACTAAACTTCCGCTACAGCAGCAACTAAAAACTAAATCTGATGACAGGCAGATGCCCAAACTGGAGCTGTGTACAGAGAGGGGAAAAGGAGCGAACCGGACGTAAAACTTTAAAGGTCTCCTGATTTAGTTTGTTAATAAATGCTTATTTTTTATTCATTACCGAATCTTCACTGCGCATTAAGCGGCTGGTTATGCATTTGGGGGGTTGGGGGGGTTGGCTGCATAAACTAATAAGGAAATGCTTAAATGAATAAGA